CAATTCGCTTGGTAAGAGAGCTGTTAGCAAGCTCACAGCTTGTCACAGAGAAGGATAAGATGTTCTTGAAGGCAAAGACGAAATCTATATTCTTTTCAACAATATCTATCTGGGTTCAAGAGAGCAATTTTTTTGGAAAAGTATCTCAGATGAATGCAATTGTATAGATTGAAGGTATTTTAAAAGATAAAAAAAAAAAAAAAAAGGAGAAAAATCAAAGACATTTTGCTCCAACAAGGCTTTAAATCCCTAACTCGTGCCACAGCAAAACCTTTTCTGAGAAACTGATCAAGTAATCCTTCCTATGTTGACTTTAACCTACAATTATACTGTTTGTGGGGTTTTTTATACCATGTTCTGACACATTAGAAACCGGACAGAAATAATATATTAGAATGTACATGCCCCATCTAACACAGCATGGGAATTCCTATACTGCTGTACAGCAAAACCCAGACAGGCTATATGTGCATTGCATCATTCCTTGAAAGCAATCTTTACTGTGAAGCCCATTCATAATAATTAAAATACCAACCTTACCGACTTAGAGAGCTGCAGAGGAAATAATTTTTACAAACCCCTTCATCCGTATGGCTCGCATAGGACGTGTGTTAACTCTCCAAGCAGACAAAAACCTCTCACGAGTATTCCCAGGTTGGGTGTGTATCTTTTTTACCTCACAAACTTTGGGATGCAAAACTCTGGACAGAAGGATCCAAATTCAATGGATAAATACAGACACAACACTCTTTGCTCCACTTCTCTCCACTGTTCCCTTCCCCAAAGCCGGTGGTTTTAATTTGTGGTCAGACTGAGCCTCGTCCTGGTGATTTACAGCGTCTGCCCCACAAGGAGGGAGGCAGAGAGCATCCCAGCCCTGTCCCCAAACCGTTGGCTACAATTTGGGATCATTTTCAGTCACGGACATGCAATAAACACTAGCAGCCAAAAATAAGCATCAATTAGAACCAGAAAAAGTGGAATAGTACCAGGCCTATAGAAGTCACCCAGAGCCAACCCCTGTTGATCTCAAGGGCCCTTCCCTGACTTGGGCAGCATTACTGCTGGAAGATGCACAAGGGTTGGCTTCACCTACCGCCGCATCTCCCGCTTGGTGAGACTGTGCACAGCTAGTGGAAAAACAGTTTGAAAACAAACAAACAAAAAAAAAACATAAAGCTGAGGCTGACTTAGACGTTTTATGAAGACAAAAGAGAATAATCTGTACAATCTCCAGGCTAGGAAGTCATCAGATTTTGCTATAGCAGAAATACTTTTGTGAGACAGCACAAAGGAAGCTCTCTCTGGAGAAAATACATTCCCAGCAAAGAGCCTAGGTAGGCTCTTCTTCATTAACCAGTAAGAGGGAGATCTTTCTGTAACATGCAGAAGGCACTGAGCCTCATTTGACACTGAAGTTTAACTCAAAATAAAATTTTCTGTGATTAAGGAAACTTTTGTTCTACTTCTGTTTATTCACCATCTGTGACACAAAACCTGGCAAAGACTCCAATTAGTTTCCTTTGTGTTATTACTGCCACCAGCACTCAAATGATAAACATTTATACAAAAGGAAATTCCTTTTCCTTTCTTTGCTATCTCCAAAGAGTAGACCTAAATACTTTAATAAGAAAACCTGTACTGAACTCACCCTGAAATCCTGTAATGCCAGATTACACCAACCGCACTACAGAAGAAGGCAATGGCAGATTAAGCCAATACAACACCCCTCCTGACAAAATCTTTCCTCCTAGTAATGGGCATTCAGCCTGAGAGGAAGGGAAGCAGAAGCACCTCACACCACAGAAGGTGAAATACTGCAACACCCGCTTAAGGAACATCAGGGAGGGATTTGGAGAGTTTTGTTCTCTGGGACATACAAACCCCCGTGTAACTCTCACAGCCACATGGGTGGTTGTGCTTCGCCTCAGTCGAGCACCACAGAGGCATCATCCAGCAAAACAAACTGACTGAACTCTGTTAGCACTTAGTGGCATATATTTACTTACTGAAACTCTTCATTTATGTATACAAAAAGTACTGTTGCTATCCTGATGGAACCCACGAATTGTTGTGGTTGTTAAATTTAATTATTCTGGTAAAGTTTAGCTTGGTACCTTAAACACAAGAATCCCCTTATACACAGTTTGCACACTGTTACAAGCATACCAACATTAGGGCAATTCATTTCTATAAAAATTTGTGCATAGGTGAAGTAGCAACATTTTTTCTAGCACAGGCAAGCTCTACAAAAAAAAAGATAAATGTTTTAATTTTTGTCCAAATGGGTATGATCCATGACCAGGAGTACAACCTTGACTTTGGCATTTATTCATGCAGTAACATGCCAACAGCCCCTATGTCAACAGGTTCCCACGTGTTTTCTGTGGATCCTTGAGGGGGGTAGCCCTGACTGCTGCTGGGTTGGTTAGGTTCAAATAAAAGAAATGGAAAGAAGAAATCTGACACATGGAGCACACATGGAGGTGAATAAACAGATACGGGTTGGATAAGCAAAGGGAGATCACAAACTTGCACCAAATCTGAGGAGAGTGAACTAAGCCTTATCCCCATTTTTCAATCCACTGCACCCTTAGTACGGCTCTTCTTCCTGCAGATCAGAAACAGCTGCTGAAGGCAGACAAGATGCTGCCAGGCATCTCTCAAGACCATGCAACAATTATTTTTTTCCTTGACACTAAAAATAAATTAATTAATTGCACATTTTACTGGAGCAGGACAGCACTTCTACACCAGCACCTTATGCTGAGGGCTGTACTACACAGAGGCTGATAGGTTTTTCCACTTTTTAGTTCCAGTTGCTTGCACACTAATGCTTCGTACACTTGTTTGAGAAACAGCAATAACATTTAAAGAAGTAGTTTAACAATCAAACATCAGTTTTGGTTTTGGGGCAAGACAGTATGCCTTCTTGCTGAGGCCTCCTGTAAAATATCATTCTGTTGTAGCACAAATGTCCAAACAATTTTGCTATAGACTCTAAAGAGCTGACTTAAAAAACTCTACAGCCGTGAAGGTTATGAAAATAACTCAAAATGAGTTCTTCGATCCTTTTTCCCTACCACTCACATTTGGCTGAAAACTATACAAGCAAGATCTCTGTCTGTTTCCATTTTCAAGAATGCAGTCTTTTACAATTCTACTGGAATTTCTAGTAATGACAGGCACAATTTTGTAATATGTCTGAGCCAGTATAACAGCTTCTAGCCCTAAAATGACACCCAATCCTATTCAGCCTTGCCATGTCCTCAATGCTGCCATTTTTTTTTTTTTTTTTTCTGTGCTGACCTCCCTTCGGGAGCTAAACTTGCAAGAAACTGAATCTATCAAAAAACCTAAGTATCTTTTTGCCGGTTTAACTCCCAGAACTAGCTCACAGGGGGTCTGATAAGCAACAGGGAAGAGGAATGACCAGTTAAGCAGCAGCTATTCATTTGGTAAACTGAGCTGAAACATGAAGCCGCATCCCAAACTACTCTGCCAAGTAGTTTGTCTTATGGGATGACTCCAGTCAAACATTGGGATGTTTGGGACTCCAAATGTCCCAAACATTGGGACGTCTTCCACTTACGGGATGGACTGGGCTAAATCAAATCACATTAATAATGGTTCTAAAACAGATATCATGGAAATAATCCACCCCTGTTTACAGTCAGTGACCAGGTGCCTTCTGGGATCAAAACAAGAATTTTCACTGTTTTTCTCTGTTATTTGATTCATTCCATAGGTGGCCCCAAAGTTAGGGTTATTGGTCTGAAAACTGCCAGACTGACTTTCTGACTCTTTTTTTAGAGACTAGTAGTGCACTTTCTTTTTGCATCCGTATGTCTACACCTTCTAGAAGTAACTTCTAATGATTAGGAAAAGTAAGTGTTTACTATTTAGAATTAAATTTAATGCTATGCATTTCATTATGCGATTTTAAAAAATAAGCATATACAGTGAATACTGATCCCTCCCCTTCTTCACTCCTCCTCCACCAAGCCTTTACACACATTTATTCATCAGCTGCGGAACAGACACTGAAAAGCATCAAGTACTGGCAAGACAAGTGAAAAATATTCAGGAAAGGATTAGCATATAACGAAACAGGTGTTGTTCAGAAATAGACACAGTTTCAGACCGTGCTTCTTTCCCCCCCCCCCCAAAAAAAAACCCTGCAACTTCTACTGAGAGGGTCCCAAACCACGTGCGTGCCCCCTGGGAAGCTTCAGAGGGGACAGCTGAAAGAAACTGTCGGCCACGCGGCGTGAGACGCGAGCAGAAGCCACCGGAATGCCCACGACCCGAGTCTGCGGGGTTTACACGGCCGCCAGCGGCCGGTCGCGCAGAGGCGCGGCAGCCGAGGGGCCGGAGCCGCAACCCGGCGGCAGCGGCGGCGGCAGCAGCGGCGGCAGCAGCGGCCCACGCCGGCTCAGCAGACAAGGTCCGCGCACCTTGGACCCCACGGGAAGGTTCCCCAACGCCGCGCAGAGCCTCTTTCGCCGCCCACGGCGCGCAAGCAACAGCCGGGGTTTGTGCGAACCTACGGGTCGCTCACAACCCGCCCACCCCCCCCCCCCAAACTGCCAGGGGGCCCGGCTGCGCGCCTCGCGCACCCCTCCTTTCGCAGCACGGATTTCCACGCACCCGCCAAAGGCGAGACCAGTCCCCCCACCCCCCCACCCCAAACGCCGCCCGCAGCCCCCCCCGTTGCCTCGGGCCGCGGCGCCACCGAGCAGCCGCCGCCCCCCGACCCCGCGTTCGGGCCCCGCCGCTGCCCCCCCCACCCCGCCCCCCCCCTCCCGGGGTCCCGCCGCCCCACCGGCCCCGGCCCCGGCCCGGCGCGCGCTGATAGGGCTTCCCGGCGCGGCGCGGGGCGGGGGGGCGGAGGGAAGCGCGGCCCAATGCGCCGCGCGGCTCCCGCCTCACAGCCCCGCTCCCCCGGCGCGGCCGTGAAGGAATGCGGCGGCCGCCCCGCCGCCCCCCCGGCCCGGTACCTTTTCCTCCTGCAGAGCACGCACACGGCCCAGAGGAGCAGGGCGGCGGCGGCCGCCCCGCCGTAGGTGCCGAGCTGCAGCGCGTCGGGGCCCATGCTCGCCTCGGCGGCCGCGGGTGCCTCCCCGCCGCCGCCGCCGCCGCCGCCGGGGAGGAAAGTTTCGCCCGTCCTCCCGGCTCTACCCCTCGCAGGAGAGGCGCCCGGCCGACCGGCCCTCCCCGCCCACCCCGAGCCCGAGGGGGCTGGGTTTGGCTGCTCGGAGCCGGACTTGGCGAGCGGGCCCCGCTGCGACCCGGCCGGCTCCTCCCCGGGGAGCGCCCGGCGCGGGGAGGGTCGCGCCCGCCCGCCCCCGCGGCCTCCCGGCGGCGGAGGGGGAAGCCCCAGCTTGCGGGGAAAGGCTCCGACGCGGCGGGAAGGTCCCGGGACGGAGACGGCGGAGGGGGGTGCGGAGGGTCCCGGGGTCAGCCCGCCCCGCCGGAAAGCGGCCCTTTCCCTCCGATCCCCTTCAGCCCTCCCCGCGCCCCGGGAGGGGCTGGGTGCCCCCCCACAGCCCCGGTGTCGGGTGGTTGGAGGGGCGGCGGTGTGTCCCCGGTGCAGACGGTGCTGGGCTCGGGCAGGTGGCGGCTCTGGCAGCCCGTGGACCTCCGCTTGGTTTTGGTACAAACACCCGATGCGTGTCCCGAGATGCTTAAAAAGCAAGACAACACCCACACCCCCCCGTCCCCCCAACACACACACACACACACACACACACACACACACACACACACACAGCTTTATAAAACTTAACCTGAGGTAGGACAAACGAGATACCAATAGTGCAGGTTGGCTCTTGACATGGCGCCGTGGGAGAAGAGGCCAACTCCAGTCCTCCCAGTCTTCCCCACAGCCCCTCTGGCATGTGAGAGAGAGAGGCAAGAGAGGAGAAGGTGAGAAACCAAAACCTGAGGCAACGGGGGGATCGCCAGCTTGAAGAAGTGGGATGGGGTGGAGTGGGGCAGAGGTCCAGAGAGTTTGGTACTGCATGGCAGGGTGGGGGGCTATCAGAATACCAGGGTAGCAGCAGAACCTTGCAGCTCGGCTGCCCTTTGATCCAAGGTATGCTCAGAAACGTTGCTGTGATGTAAGATACCGCTTAACGCAAATTCACACTGAAAGGTGGAGTAGGATGCTTCAGTTTCTGGGGTCTCAGCTTGGTTGAATGACGACAGGCAGAAGTTCAGGTACCTTACTCATTCTCAGCTGTGTACAGTATTACAAAGTACGTATTTCACAATATGTGGTGGTTTACACTTTGCTTTCATCTTGGAAACGAATTGTACAACACGCTGTTTTCTGAATTGCCCTGTTGTAAGCCTTCTCTGAATTGTAAAGACCCAAATGTATCTGAGCAGATAAAAAAGCCAGTTAGTTAGCTAAAAAGCCTTCCCGACTTTAGCAGATCTCATAATTTCTAGGGGCCTGACTCACATCTGAGGGTTTGCAGTTGGCACAGCTGTGTATCTTCTTCCTCAAACATTCCTGCTGATTTCAGTGACATACTCAGAAATGCCACTGTATTAATCAGAGAAAATCAGATCAATGCATTTCACATTCACGTGTCTCAGAACCTGGTCACTACTGCTTAAACCCATCAGCCGTCCCTCCTGAGTTCAGAAAATCAGACACCCTTATTGTGCAGTACAGGGCACGGAGGGAAACCATAAGAGAAACTAATGTTTTACTTGTAGCTCTGTAGGGTTTTTTTTGCAGGGAACTGTATTTGAAATCCCCAGCTTGGGTTTCTTAGCGACTAATCCTGTTAATTCTTGGAAAAGTAGTAATTTAGAACTGTAAAGCATTGCAGTGTAAGACATTACACTGTAAAATATTACTCATTTTACAAGTGACCTCTGCTGTGACAATTTAGTGTTTCACTTCAGTATAATGAGAAATAAGTGTTCACATACAATTAAATAGCTATGTCAGCTAGAGTGATCCCTTATCCTGATTTGAAATACTAAAACCTTGAGAAGATCACTGTGGTCCTGGCAGAGGGCATGAAAAGAGTTACAACAACATTTTTAAACTTGCACGGCTTGTATGTAATTGTCTCAGATCAATTGCAGATGAAAAAACACACCATCACACACCAAAACCCCCCACACCACGAGCAAGACTTATTTTAAAACACAGGGAACACAACCTGAAAGGTCCTAGTTCCTGTAAGAGTGCTCTGTACTCTTCTGTGTCAACCCCTTAAAAAGCTCAGGAGGATTAATTTCTCCTCAACTAGTAAAGGAATTTCACAGAGTTAGAAGCCCAAACCTGTTGAAGTTTGGGGTCTTACATATAGTATGAACTACGTCGATGCAGATCGAGCTGGATGATATTTGCATGTAACATGCACAGCAAAAATAATAAAAGATGTATCTGTACATATTGGCATCTCAGCTAACTGAGGAGAGGAGGTGAGGCCGAACTGTCCCCTTTATCGTAGCTGTAGCAGAGAAGAGGAAATTTATTTCATTTGCAGGAGGTGCAAGCCTAGTCCTAGAGTGGTATGGTCGCATGTTGAAAAATGACTCTGAGGAATTGGAGGGATTTTCAGTTTCAAGCTGTCATGAGGTCTTTGTGGAGCTCTCGCTGCAGCATGGTCATAAGTGAGGAGAAAGAATGCAAATGCTGTTGTATTTGGAAAAAGATAATGTTACTATCCAGCTGGATACAACTGTGTCCAGTTGTTATCCTTACTGGTGGGGTATAATTGCTGTTGTTCCATGGCAGTAGTTTTGGCTCCTTGGCAAATTTCTTCAAGTGCAGTTCATATGCTTAGAAAGCTGCTAGAAACAGCTGCAGGCTGGAAAGAGGTGAAGGCATTTGCAGATATATATACTGTGTCGGGGGGAGGGATGGAGAATTCATCAGATAAGCTTGGAGGGCTTTTCAGCTGGAAGACACCCAAGGTTTCAGAGAGGTTCCTAATACCACAGTAGTAAACCCAGATAGATAGATAGATGCTCAGTTACATTTCTCCTGTTTAAATTGTGAACATTCTGTACATATGCTACAGTTCAAAATGCATACTGTGTGTATGTTTCATACTGCCAATGTTGTAAGATGATATAGATCATATTTTTTTGTCTTATGAAAATGCAGAAGACTCAAAATAAACTTCGAACAGTATATACTGCAATCTGTACTGTATGTTACACATCACTGTGATTTTGCTATATGCAGCACATGGACAAATGCCTGTTCTACTGGGTAGCTTTTATGTGCACAAGGATTTAAACTTCCAGGCTTAGACAAGAGCAGATTCTCCATCACTGAAACACCAGTAAGATATGTGTTATAAGCGACAGCAGGAACAAGCCTTGTTTTTCTGGTTGCCCAGCGCTACCCATTCTAAGGCTATTTTCAACCGCTTATAGCTTTGCTCTGCAGTAACAGTTGCAGTTGCAGTACTGCAAGTCCCTTCTTGCCATCAGTTCAAATGGGCATGAAGTATTTCAACCAAAACAGTCTATGTATTTTTGTGAACAGTGCTAAGGAAGAATACCCATGCTAACAGTGTTAGTGATTTTGAGAAATGGCAGTGGCATCAGACTTTGAAATGGGGTCAACAAATTAACCTCTGTGTCAACGATAATCTGTCCAAATTTATTTAGGTTATAACCCCCACAAGAAGAGAGGTTTTGTATACTCTTGTGACCCTCTGGACCTTTGGAGCTGAATTCCGTGAAGATGCCACTGGAACTGGGTCTGCTTCCAGCTCTCAGCTCAGCAGCTGTTTTCTCTGAAAGTGAAGCTCTGAGCTAATAGAGATCAGGCTGAATTCAGGGCAATGAAACTAAAAGCCTTTTTGTTCACTGCTCCCTGTCTCCCTTCCTGCTGAAATACAGGCAAAGGGAAGTGCAGTGATTTAAGCGTAGGATGAAAAGGCTACAGACCTCTCAGGTCTCACTCACTAGATCGAAGGCCGATACATTTGATTCTCACTTTGCGTTCTTTCCTTTGAGAACAGATCAATCTGCATTTAATGCTTTCGTAACGCAGCACTGCAGTGTCTCTCCCGTGACCTCCTGCGTCAGTCACAGCCGGCTGGCCTGGGCTCTGAAAAAGACCTCACGCTGAGAGGGGCGAGAAGTTCCACTCATCTGCTCCTGTCCTTCAGATATCTCAGTCCCACATCCCACTACCACGTGGACTGGTGTGCCAAACACGTATCTGTTACTTGTACCAACACGTGGACTCGTATCGTGTCAGGGAAAAAAAAAAAAAAAGAAGCTAAGAAGTCTGCAGGGGAAGGGGTGGTGGGGTTGGCTGATGGAGATGGAGAACTGAATAGGAAAAGAGATTATGAATGGGAGATAGGGAGGGAAGTAGAAAAGAGGGTTAGGAAAAGATGAGTGGAAACTGGGGATGAATGAGCAAGTTGAAATCTGGGAACCAAAGGAAAGGAGAGAAGGAGAGTAAGCATAGGAAAGATTTTGAGGAGGAGAGTGACAGAACTGACACTGCCTCAGTGTAGAGATTAAGATGTAGAATTGTGGTATGACTCACAGGTGAAATCCAAGAAGAGAGGTGGAACTGGAAATGAGTGGGAATGACAGTATGGGAGAGGAGAAGCCAAGAGGACTGAGGTCTGAACCACTGAGATGGTTCCTACAGTTTACAGGCTGGGTCTCAGTGGGAGAGAAGAAAGGGATTTGGGTCAAAGATTGACACCGGGAAAGCACAAAAGCGATGGGCAAGAGAATGAAGAAGGGACCAACAGAAGAGGCTATGTCTTCCTGGCTGCAATTTTACCCTGTCTAAGATGGTACGACTGCAAAGATCCTCAAAATACGTGGTCACCTTTCTCCGTACTGCCTTCTGTGCCACAAGTTGCGCAGTCCTGCCGTTTCTCTTCTGTTACATCTGACAGTCATGTGGTCACGGTGAGAACTGGTTACCTTCTAGTCTGGCAGAAAACTCACTCACTGAAGGAGAAGAAAGAATAGCACGCCGCCAGATAAGCCGTTGATTCAACTCATCCTGAAACCACAGAGTCACTAGCTTGTGCAGGGAAACGGGCTGGCAGTCTAAGATGCAGACTATGGGACAATGAGACAACCTATTCTGAGAGTTAAATGAGAGGGAGCTGTGCTACAGCGTGAAGGTTTTCAGCTGTGGTGATGTTCAGAGAAATGCTAGTATGATGCCATGTGGGAGAATTTTCACATTCTCACCCTGACTTTTTAGTAAGAAAATTTTAA